ATTTAAGATAGATTCACCTAAGAAATAAATTAATCCATGCTACATTTACCCTCAAGAATACAGCAAAGATTTTTTAAAGTATACATTTAAGTTATCTAGAGGATTTTAGAATACTTAACAAAACAAAAACTTCGTACCCAATAATTCTACACACTGAATTGGTCATTGTAACAGTACAAGACTTTAAAAAACAGAAGTACCAAATCTTAATGTTCTTAGAATTTGGCTTAATTATTTTCACCTGACTCAAACCAACTATAAACACTTATAATTTTACATATAAAGTAAATGCTTTACAAATTATTTACAATTTGTTTTCAGAACCATTCAAAATTACACCCCTAAGATTCTTCAAAGATACTTTCGGCTATGATACATAGCCGGTATATTACTTTATGCAAATTATTTATCTCTGAATAAAAAATGCAAGTAGTCCCCACTTTTTAGCTGCTATAGACAGCACTGCCCCTTGTTCCTCAAGTTCCCATAGTATTCATCACTCCGGAGAGAGAAGTATTTTGAACTGTAGACTTCATATAGAATCACTTTAAGACAGGACCAAGGAACAGAGAAACCTACAACAGCCAGTCCAAGTTTTGTAATGGAATGAAGCTCATACTGTATGTGGGTCGACTTGGCAGTTTTCTACACGAGGGTTCCATAAACTACATAGTTTATGTATAGTTGACCCTTGAATAACAAGGGTTTGAACTGTACTTACACATGAATTTTTTTCCATAAATAACAATACAGTATTGTCAATGTATTTTCTTAATGAGATTTTCTTTTCTCTAGCTTACTTTATTATTAAGAATGTGGTATATAATACATATAACTTACAAAATATGTATTAGACTATGTTATCGGTAAAGCTTCCAGTCCATAGAAGGCTATCAATAGTTCAGTTTTGGGTGACTCAAAAGTCATACACAGATTTTCAACTGCACAGGGGGTTGGTATCCCTAACCACTGCATTGTTTGAGGGTCAGCTGTATAAGGTTTTACTGGAACACAGTCACACTCATTTGCTTACACACTGTCTATGGCTACTTTCAAACCACAAGAGCAGAATTCAATTGTTGCATCAGATGTAGTCCACAAAATCTAAAATATTTACTAACTGGCCCTTTACCAAAAAAAAAAAAAAAACCTCCTCCACACAATGAGATGTCAGAGGCAACACATGATATCTCCAAGAACCATCTCTGAAGTACACGAATTGAGCTGCTGTCAGCCTAGGTGTAGGCTTTTGGGTCATCTGGTGCTAAAACATAAATGCACACCCAAGCCCCTTTAATCATCCCATATCAATCCCAAAGTTGCCAAGGCAAAGCACATGAGGTTACCACTCCCTCCTACCAGAGTCACACCTTTCCCACTACCTTTACTAGTAAATTATGTCAACCCAAAAAGGCTGCCCTTTAAGTTCATCTAAACATAGTTTCACCCGCATAAAATATGTTGTGGAAAAGCAGAGGGTGGAGAAGGCACCCACATGGCATATATTCCAGTCCCGTACTCTCATCCTAGAATCACCTGAGATCTAGCTCCCTATCTAAACATCTCTTCCGCAGAGTTCTGCCATTTGAATTAAATTCTTAAGAAGAGACCAAAGAAGCTACTAGGAAGGTGGTGAACTGAATGAACTAAGGAACACAAAAAGTATGGATATGTATATATTCCTTATCTTACAATCCTTAATCTTTGTTAGAGTCAACACTAAAAGCAAGCCCCATTAGCTGCAGGCTTCACCACAAAAAAGGTCTTCCAGTGTCTCATGCTTCAAAGACAGCCGAATTTTTTTAAATGCCAAGTTGTTTTTTGTTTGTTTGTTTTTTAATAAAAAGGTTTTTTAAAAAAAACATTTTCAGCACTGCTGTGCCAACACAGGGATATCCCCTCCATTGTATGGGACACAAAGACACACATCAACTGCAAGCAGGGGAAGCAGCCTTCTCTGCCAGCTATTTTTAGCCCTACTTCGTCATGTTAAAGACCAAACTTAGGATAATAATGCTGGGCAAACTTAAAAAACATGAATTTTTATGAAAACAAATCTGTCCTTTTATGTATAAGTTCCTTAACAGTGAAATCCTATATATTCTTCTGATCTTAATCTCAAGAGACCTATATACTCTACAAAAAAATTGTTAGCTCCTTCAAAAATATAGACTCACATGTCCTAAGACCGAACTGGTAGCCATGTTTAAAGACTGTTCCTCTCTTTTGAACTTCAAATCTTAATCTACTTTTAAAACATTTTGTTAGGGAGAGTCTCAACCATTTTTTGTTCTTACCATATCTTTGCTAACTTTAACAGAGTCCCTTCCCCCAAAGTAAAAAGACACATTTTTCAGCTCTTTACTCTCTGTCAGCTCTCTCAAGAAACCTAATACTGTGAAAATGATCCCTAACTCTACATTTCCAGCATATCACACATTAGTTTAACTATTTTTCTGTCTTCAGATTGCATCAGCACCAACTTTTTACCCTAAAATTTAGTGTCAAAAACAAAGTCCACTGCCTCATTTCTGAATTACTTTCTATAAGAAACCACTAGCACCAATCTAAAATATTGGGAGCATCTTTTTCACTCCTCCAGTTGTACAGCTCTTCAAAGACTATGGTGTAGAAATGTTGGCTCCCTAGAAAAACAAAATCCTACTCCAGGTATAATGCCTCCTGACCTACAACACAATTTCTCCTCAATCATCTAAAACTACCCTCCCGGTAACATTGTTCTCAATTGCTTCTTTGGGCTGTACACAATGTAACTGCACAAACACAAACTGACTCCAAGCCTACTCAACAACTTTCATCCATATTCCCATCAAGCTAACTTCCTAATTACATTTGTCCCGCACACCCTCCAATTCCAAAAGTCTTAAACACTTTACCTCCACCTATACCTTTCTTCCCAAAAGAGACCTTACTTCCCAGATTTGGTTCAGACACTCCAATTAGTTTTGTACAGTCCAACACCAACACTTCTCTAATAAAAAATATACAAATACATTTATATCTGTAAGGTACCAAACATAGTAATATGACATATAGTGTCATACATACCTCTTTCCTACAATTTTGTGCAATTTAGTTTCACTGCCTATTCCGTAAGTAAAAGCATCTCAAAGGCAGGGCAGCAAATACTTTGCTGTTTCTTTGCTACCCAAAATGCAATAAAACATTACCATGCTTTTTAACCAATTTATAGTCAGAGCAATAAAAATAAGTCTTAAAGTTAGTAAGCAACTTTGATAGAGTACAAATCTACACTCAAATTATAGTTTGCTGGTTTGTCTTCCCTTCCTCCCTGAAAAACAGCCTATGCCAAGACTAGATTTCTCTTTCTCCCATCTTTATAAAACATGGGATTACATGACTTCCTCAAGGTCTCAAAAGAAGATAACAGATCCAGAGACATTTGCTTTTGATTTGACATCTAACATCACATCTACTAATCAGTATTTTCATGTCATTACCCATTTAAATTAGAACTTAAGGTTCCTTACAAAAGCATAGCAAGCACAAATATATAAAGAGAAACAAAACAGCTGGAGAAGTTCCAGAGGAGATAAAATGATCAAGGGATCAAAGTAATCATTCTAAGACCGACAGAGAGAGTCAGGAAAGACAACGGTAAAGAGGAATAATCAAAATCTATAAAACCAGGAAAAGACGAACTCCAGCTTGTCCTAGCATTTCTCAAAACAAAAACTCTGGATGTGTCTTGGAACTTTAAAGAGACAGATTTTGGACAAATAAATGAAATGTTAAATAATTCAGGGGCTAATAAACTTGCAGAACTCACTACCTCAAAGGAGAAAAAGTACAGATGAAAACACTATTTGAGAAAGTTTTAAATAAATTTAATCACGATCCTGAAAGGAGAAGTTAGCACAGACAACCCCTGGCTTACATTCATTACTACAAAGCTTCTCTCAGCAGTGGCTTCAGAGGGAGTGAGCCCAGACTGTTGCCTGGAGGAGCCACAATTCTCAATATAGTACTGCCTATGTTCTGTTAAATAAAATTCCACCCTATGCTTAACCCTTAAGGTCTATATAAATATATGAAATGGTAATTACTTTCTTGCATCTCAACATGGCACTCTTGAGCGGATACCTAAAATGCATATCAAAGATTTTATAAACTTCACCTTAAAAATCATTCTTCAAAGAATTAAATATCAAAAAAGTTTCTCCTTGTTTGATAGTGAAGTAAAGATAACTCAAACAAGCAAAGTCTCAAGTCATTCTGTCAAATAAAAAAAGTGCTAGCAATTAGGACATATGCTACTCAAAAATTAAAAAAAAAAAAAGCATTTGGATAGGGGAAAAAAATGTAACAACTTTTATAAACTGGTTAAAGTACTAGATGCTCTCCCCCAAGTAAGTCGTGATTCATAAGAACTCAGAATTTCTTGAGTAACAAATCTGTTATAGCTCCTGGCACATAGGAACTGGACCGAGGAAATAAGAAGGTAAAAAACTCCTGTACCAATAGGTACTGAAATGAAAATCTCTCAAGGAAGACTGCAAAATAAGAAAGGAATTTTACTTTCAGGAGTTCACAGGGTAAAAGGTTCCCTCTTCAGAACCCTAATAAGAGTTGCCCCGAAACAAAAACCACAGCACAGTTTCACACCCGGTGTACCAGGAAAAGGTGTATTATAGAGATGTCCTTTGTGTGCACATATGCTTTGGCTTCCTCAATTTCCTTTTGCCAATTACTGGCCAGAAAGGCGCAAGTGTCCACTCTGGATAGACAGAACTCCTCTAAGAGAAATCTGTAAGTTTGCATATTACCCGTACAAGGAGCTAAAATATTATAAAACACAGGACTACCCAATACCTTTTCCCCGCTGTAAAAATAAAAATGCACCCTCTCATCTACTATACACTCCCAACACTCCTGCAAAACATCAGCAGAACTCCACGAGGACGAACCGGTATCCTCCCACTTTCTACCCCTCGATTCCCTTTCCCCCCGCCACTCACACTTTAGGGAAGAGCCGTGGCGCTGAGAAAGTGGGTTGGTTCCCTTCCTCCTTCGCTCTGAGGCGGCAGCTGCGGAAGGCTCCGGTACGTTACTGAGGAAGAAGCGGTGCTTGTGTCTCTAAGCCAGGCGGTCACCCGGGTCTCTTCCGCGCTGCCGGAGCAGAGGAGGCGGCAGCGGCCCCGCTTACCTCCTCTTTTCCTCTTCCTGGGTCTCTTCAGGCTGTGTCTTCTGCCCGCCCTGGGCCACTTCTCCCGGGACAGTCACGTCTGGGAGGCTCCAGATTTTGCTCTTACAAAGTTTTCCTCTGGGCTGAGGCTGCAGCCGGCCCCCCGGGTCCCCCCCGCCCTCGGGGCTGGGGCGGGGGAGGGGGCTCTAAGAACTCCTCCCGGAGTTCTGCCGAGGAGCCGGGGGGCCGGCGACTGGCCAGGGGAGAAGACCCCCTCCCCCGCGAGGGGGCTGAGGAGGGGGGGAAAGGTAAGGAAAGGACGGCGGCGCCGGTCCTGCTCTCCCCGCCGCCGGGGCCGCCGCTTCACATCGGGGTCCCCGCCCCCCCGGCCGGGGGGTGGTTGCTGAGCTTGGGTCCCCGGCTCATACACTCTGGGGCAAGATGCTACGGCCCCGGGCGGGTGGCCGAGGCAGCGGCGTGGTCGGGGACCCGGCCGGCTCCGCTCGGCGCCGCCCCCGCTCCCGGCTCCCGCATGTGTCGCTGCGGCTGGGACCCCCTCCCTACACGTTGGGGGTCCCTCGCCCCGCGCTCCGGGACGAGACAGAAGCTCCGGCCCCTCCTCAGCGTCTTCTCACCGCGGAGAAGCTGACTAGTCCCGGCCCGAGGTAGCCGCCTCCCTGCCCCCCAGCCGCCGGCTCCGGCTTGGGCTCCGGCGTGTGCAGCCGCCACTGCCGGCCGGGAAGGTGAGGGGGGGAGAAGTGGGGTGGCCGCGGCTCCCGCTGGTCCAGGTCAGGACGAAGGTCTCGGCGGTGGCCAGTGCACGGGGGCTGGGTCTCTCAGATGCTCCCTCGCTCTCACGCTCTCCGCTGCGGTGGCGGTAGCGCCCGGAGCTCAGCTCGCTATCTCGCTCGCTCTGTGCGGGGCTCTCGCCTCACTCCAGAGAGGGGCGGGAGGAAAGCGGCGCCGCCGGATGACGCAAGTCACCTAGCAACCGCTCCCCTCACCCCCTCCCTTTTCTTTCCACCGGGACATTTCCTCCGCGGCCTTTTTTTTCCCTTTCTAACCACCCCGCCCTGGGTGACTCTGGCGCGCTTTGATGACGCTAGAGGGGAAGAGGAAGTCGGGGCTCCGCGAGCGGGTGGGTGCGCCTCGGGCCGCGGGACTAGCCGCCGTTGCCGCCGCCTCTACGGCCGCGTCAGAATTGAAGAGAGGAAGGGGAGGAGCCGAGTGGAGCCTAAGCTGCCGCCTGATCTTACCCCTGACCCGACGGTGGCGGGGAAAGCTCGCTCTGTAGCGGTTTTCTCCAGGGCAGGTGGTGACTGCTCCTTTGGGAGCAAGGAGGAAGGCCCAGGCCGCGCGGCCATGGTCGGGCGCGCACCACCCGAAGGTGAGGCATTTAGCTTCGAATGGGCCTTCGAAAAGCCAGACTGAGCGAGAACTTGTCCTACAGCCTGATCCGCTGCACCTGCTCCAAGGAGCGAGCGCCCCACCCTTCCCGTGGTGTGGGGCGAGCCTAGCACCCGATAACGTGTGGTCGGGCCGAGCAAATGTTTGATGAATGAATGAATGCCTCCCTCTGAGGCACTCGCGGAGTTCAGAGGAGTTGATGGAAGTGCAGGCGTTTTGTAAGCTACGTTGTGTTGTAAAGATGAGAGTGGTAATACATCCCTTATCCCCCCCACCCCCACGAAAGGAAATAGGGGTGTGGTTTGAGTACGGAGTCACAACCTGGGTCTTTAGTGTAAAGTGGGGACGAATTGCCAAGACAAGGGAAGGAAGCAGACTCCCGGAGATTGTGGAAAGATTTTTTACTTTTTCAGGAGGAGATGTTAGTAGTATCTCAGTTTTAGGAACCATTCTTGCTTGTATGAAGCTTTGGAGAGCTGATCTTGGTTGGTAGTAAGTGTCCATAACCATCATCAAGAAATGTTGGCCTGTGTTTCAGGCCTGACTCAAAAGCTATTTCATTTCTAAAATAAATATTATTACTATTATGCAGCTTTTCCTACAGATGTTATCCTGGAAAGTAAATTCAAATAAAAACTCATGAGGTTGAAAGTGTAGTTCTCTAGGAAAAGAAATTTTAAGATGAAAGGATCAGAATCCTCAGAATCTGTCTTGAACCTGTCCGGGTGAATAGCGTGAGACTGAGATGAAAGCAGCAGCAATGATGAAAGGAAGCAGATTCCAGAGTTCTTGTCGCTGGACCCTGGCACACCCTACCTGCTCTCCAAGCAGCATTAACGGATATTACAAGTCTTTCCACTTCAGGGAATAAGGAGCGAGTTTTTATAGGCAGACTTTGGAAGCTCAGGGTTTCTACCACCACCATATGCGAACAGTAGACTAAGGAAACTTCTAACTGGGTGAATCCAAGGGCTCATTTTTATTAAAATGCTGGAGAAAAATTGATGGGGGTGGTAAGTGGATGTTGCAGAAGCAAGAAGAGTCTCACAAAACAGCACTTGCCGGAGTGTCCTTGAATCAAAGTTCCAAGAGCCAGGTTAGCTACCCTGCTTAAGCTGCCGTGGATTTGACTGCCTTGTCATGATCAATGCCCTACCATGTCCTTCCAAATAAGACTCAGGGAATCTGGCCCCCAAGTGCTAGCCCCACATGGCTACAAAATAAATCTCTATTTGGTTCTGCCCCCTCCCTAATTTCCTGGTGGATATAAATGAATAAAATGCCCAGATTTAGGAGCTTTTGTGAAGCCGAGCACCTCAGATTTTAAGTTCTGTGTGCTTTGGATAAAAAGAATGCAAACACCAGAGCTCTGCAACCCAGCAGAGGACACCTCCAGGAAAGTGTGTACTGTACCACATGGGGTTTTTCAGTAGCCTGATCCATTTTCATTGTCAGTGGCTCCACCTTAGAACCTTAGTACTGAGAGGAAAGCACTCAGGAGAGCCCTCATCCACCTACTTACGAAGTAATAGCGGCACTAAACTTACTGGGCAAAATCCACCCACATCACCACCCAGTACGAAAACTGGAGGAAACAGCTGGAACTGGCAACTAGAGAGGAGGAAGTTCATACATGTCTAACTTGGTCTGCGTGTCTCTTTAGTTATTATTAATCCGGAGGAGAAAACAGCTAGTTTGTTCAAAATTCAAAAAAATCTGAAATTTCAGGTAACAGTTCTTTCCCTGCTTCATCAGTTTGTTTGTGATAAAGATCTGCATGCTATGTTAGAATATAACAAAGGGATATTTGTAGAGGGTTCTTTTCTCATGCACTTGAAAGTGAGCTATTATGAGAAACTATTTAATCAGTGTTTTATCATCCCACATCAGTGGTTTTTACTGTCAAAGATTTCATAAGCTAAATTATCTGGTAAAATTTCTAGAAATGCCATCTAAAAAGTCTTCAGTTACTTTTAGCATTTTTATTCTGAGATATACATTAAAATGCGTATAGCAGTTATTCGGTGTGATAAGTAGTTATAAAAGAAACCTGCCTGTGGCCAACCAGGTCAAGAAATGGAACATTGCCAGCATTCTAGAAGCCCCCCTGGTGACCTTCCTGAGCACAACTCTTTCCCTCTCTTTTAGAGGTAGCCATTATTCTAACTTTGGTGATAATTTCCTTGCTTTTCTCTATTGTTTTCTCATAAGCATGCATCCCTAAACAATATGTTGTTTAGTTTTGTCCTTTCTGTTGAACTTTATTAAATGGAAAAATAATGTGTAATCTGTTTGCTTGCTGCTTTCGCACAACGTCGTTTTAAATCCGTATGTTGTTCAGGTTGTTCATATAGTTGTAATTTGTTCATTTTAATTGCAGTGTTCCATTGTAGCAATATTCCATAATTTATTTAGCCATTCTATTGTTGACGGACATCTGGATTGTTTCCAGTTTGGGACTGTTAAAAATGCTGCAGTGAATATTCTTCGTATGTATATTCCATCACATTTATATCAGTTTCTGTATGGTATATACCTGGGAGCTGTTTCTAGAGGGTTATACTCACACCAGCCATGTATGTGAGCCCCATTGCTCCACACCCTCATCCCCTCTCAGTATTGTCAATCCTTTTGCCAGTCTAGTGGATATATAGTTGTATGTCATTATGGTTTTAACTTGCATTTCTCTGATTGCTGAGATTTGAGCAATGTTGTTATTGAATTCCTTTTCACATATCAACTAGCCATTCGGATTTCCTCTTGGGAAATGGTTATTACCTTTTTCATGCCTGATTTCCCAATATCCTTTTATAGTCCACATTTAAAAAATTTATTTTAGGTAAGGTAATGCTACCAAATGAATTATATTTGGGGAAAGTTCTTTCCAAAATATAGCTTACTTAATTATCTTCTATGAATTTGATTTTAAACTTCTTAAAAATAGGACAAGACTCAGGGCGCCTGGGTGGCTCAGTTGGTTAAGCATCTGCCTTCTGCTCAAGTCATGATCCTGGGGTCCTGGGATTGAGCCCCACATCAGGCTCCCTTCTCCATCTCCCTCTGCTGCTCCCCCTGCTTGTGCTCACTCTCTCTCTCTCTCTCAAATAAATAAATAAAATCTTAAGAAAAAAAAGACCAAGACTATTTTATTTTATTTTTTACCTTCCAAAATAATCCCATGCTTTCAACTGTCAGTGCTGGAATTTCTCATGGCAGTTTTGGTTTTTGTTGTGATTTTGTTTCCCTCGAGTATGTAAAAGAGATTTTTATTCTCTTGAATCTATGTAACTCATTTCTGTTCTTTGTTACTTTGTATGTTATAGGCAACTATGTAGCAAATTATTTCCCCAGCACAGGGTTTGTTTGTTTGTTTTTTTCAGTTCCCAGTTTCATTCACTTTATAAAAGTCACAGTGACTTTATTTCTGAAGTCCCTGCTAAAATAATGGTTTGTTGGGGTTTGTTTTTTAATTTCACTCAGTAATATAAAATACATACCATACATGTCGCTACCTGGCAAATTTCCCCAACATACTCTCTTTGGTCGTCTTTATCATTTCCATATCTGTCAGTTCTTTGTGTAGAATCAGTGATCTTTTCTGATTTCTCATCTTAAGATGAGACCCAGAGAAATTATTTTATGTAGGGTCAAAAAAAGCAAGTAAAGAGGATGCCTGGACTCCACCCCAAGTCTTCCAATAAGTATGCT